GGCCTTATTCCCCTTGTCAAAGCATACTATAGCAGGCCGGCCCAGTTGTTCCTTGACGCAGGGTTTGGTTGCGAGGCATTAACCAGCGAGACAGGCGTAAGACAGGGGGATCCGCTCGGCACGCTGCTGTTCGCCGCAGGGATCCACCCTATCCTCACCAAGACAGCAGCAGCCTTCCCTACGGTTTTATGCCTAGCTTTCGCCGACGACGTCACCTTCCTGGGCCCTGCTGCCGACTGTTCCGACGCTTTCCGTCACTTCACGGCTGGCCTGCACGACGTGGGGCTGACCCACAACCCAGGGAAGTGCGCTGCATGGAGCGCAGCAGCAATAGACCCCCGGCATCTGCCCGATGGCGTCCCGCTAAGCACGGAAGGGCTGAGAGTGCTGGGAAGCTTCATTGGCACGACTGATGGAGCAGCAGCCTTTCTACGATCACAGCTCGAGACGCTGTCGTCCCCGCTGCCCCACTTAGCAAAAATGGACCCCCAAGTAGCGGCACTACTCCTAACACGGTGTATCTCCAGGCGCATTTCCTACCTAGCCCGCACCACACCCCTTTACCTGCTACCCGAGGCGGAATGGTCACGGTGGGGCCGGGCGTTGCTGTACACTCTTTTAGACGCCTGCGGGGTGCGCCACCCAAGGGGAGAGACAGAGGACGAACGTATCTGGGACCAAGCCTCACTCACACCAAGCCTCGGCGGCCTGGGCCTCGCCAGCCCAGCAGTAGAGGGCCGGTACAGTTTCCTGGCAAGCTTTGTGCAGGCACACACACTCCTCAACCAGCTAGAGGGACAGGCAGGGGCCAATTTGACAGCGGCATTAGACACCTCCGCAGCAGCCGACCACCGCCCCAACGAGCTGCAGAGGTGGATCGGGGACTGCAGGGACAGCCTCACGCAGGAGGCGAGGGACCTCATCTCGGCGGAGCAGGCAAAACCCAAGGGCCAGCTGCAACACCGCCTCGCTCTCCTAGTCCAAGGGGGCCGGAGTGCAGCCCAGATTGCCGCATCTAGACAGATGGAGTTGAACCCTCGGCTAGGCCACACCCAGCGCCTCATCTCCCTCACGGGCTACGAGGCAGGGAACTGGCTCATGGCGATTCCCTTCATGCCCTCCCTCCGCCTGTACCCCTGCCACTTCACGTTCGCCCTCCAGTTTAGGCTCGGCCTGCCTTTCTCTGTGCCCGACTGCTGTGACTGCACCAAACGGGTCCCCATCCTGGATAAGAGGCTGCCGAACCACTTGCTTAGGTGTGGTACAGGGCACGGCCAGACCAACACCCACAACGAGCTGCGCGACGAGTGCATCCGCATGGCGCAGGACGCAGGATTTGCAGTGCACAAGGAGTGCACTGCCTTTAGCCCCGTGGACAACAAGAAGGCCGACTTGGCCTTCAGGGATGGGAGCTCGGGGGCGGTATGGCTGGCGGACATCACCATAACAGAAGCGGAAGAAGCCTCACAGAGGAAGCACCGACTCTATGAAGGGCGCCCGAGCTACGCGGGGTTTTTTGGGCTTGCGGTTGAGACGTATGGGGCTATGGCGGCTGACACAGTCCAATTTCTACGCATGCTAGCCACCCACGCGGCAAAGACCAAGTTCAGGAAAGGGCGGCTTACAACTACCGCTGCTCGGCTCAACGCGCATTACCGCCAGAGATGGTCGGTGATGCTGCAGCGGAGCCAGGCAATCTCCCTCCTGACCAAGTCCAACCGCGCAGCGGAAGCAGCATTCCCACAGGCCGCGGGGGACCCGTGGGCTCCACGGATGGGGGACCTCTGGCAGATGATAGAGGATGAGTATGAGGAGAGAGAGGCCCCTGCCATCTCGTCGCCTAGCGCCACAGGCATCTCGGGCCGGACGAGGCGGAGGTCGCAGAGGCACAGCGGGACGGGGAGGAGGACCCGAGAACGGTTTCCAGAGAGCGGCAGGGCGGGCTTTAAAACGGGCTTATGACGAGGAGGCGAGAGACCCTACCTATATAGCACAAGCAGCAGCTGAATCAACAACGGAGGAATCAGGAGGGGTTGACGAGGAGGAAGCAGAAGGACACCGCCGAGCAAACCCAACACCAAGCCGGGCCGCATGCAGGCCACCCACGGGTGGGGGGGAGCAGGACCCACTGGCACCGGACACCACCGCGCCGCCCCCACAAACCCGCCAATTCTCGCCTGAGCAACTGGCGAGGGACGATGGGCGGTTCGACGAAATTGGAAATTGGGATCTGTCCCCCCTAGGCGACAGTCGTCAGCCCCCACTGTCGCGAAAACTCCCCGCTGACATTCGCCCCCTTTTCGCATCGGCCCTTCTGACACCACTGCTCCGCCTCGCGCGTTACCCTGACTCAGTCGCAGGATGGCGTCTGTTACTTTTTCTCCCGCGCCTAACACTTCGCCTGCCCTCAACGGAGAAGCCCGATTGGCCAGCTGTGAAGCAGCGACTGCGCCAATTTCTCAAGGGCGAATGGACGCAGCTCTACGAGTCCGCAGCAGCCGCGATCAATAGGCCACAACCGCCACGTCACACACCTGACGACCAGGGCAGGCGCGCCAGAGCAGAGGGCCTCACACGCAAGGGAAGCTTACGAAGAGCGATCCTTGCCCTGGAGTCAACACCGGTCGCTGACCCATCAGCTGACACGCTGGCAGCCCTCAAAGCTAAGCACCCCCAAGCGCCACCTGGACTCATCGATTGGACCATCCCCGATACAGTGCAGCCCGCCTCCATTGACTGTGGCGCATTCGTAAAAATAGTATGCCGGTGTGAAAATGGAGTGGGAGGCAGACCTTCTGGAATGACCTTTGAGCACCTGAGGGACGCTGCCATCGCAAACAGTGGGGTTACCACACACCTGCACGCGCTCGTCAACACAATCCTAAGGGGCAATCTCCCAGACGAGATCTGCTCGCTCCTTACCGCCTCGCACCTCATCGCCTTAGCTAAGCCTGGGGGAGGCACTCGCCCCATCGCAGTAGGCGAGTGCATCTTACGCATCGCCGCGAAATCAGCACTCGCGTCGTTATCGGAAGCATGCTGGGCCCACTTCCTCCCACTCCAGTACTGCGTATCGGTCCAGGGCGGCAGTGAGGCGATCATTCACGCCGCGAGAACTTTCACACACGCGAATCCAGAGGCGCTGATTCTACAGGCGGATTTAGCGAACGCCTTCAACTCCATTAGCCGCGCAGCAATAGTAGACGCACTACGAGGCTCGGCGCTGCAGGGCATTATACCGCTCACCAGGATATCGTACGGCAAACCGGCCCAGCTTTTCCTAGATGCTGGGTTTGAATGCGAGCCGCTCATTAGCGAGACCGGTGTGCGTCAAGGGGATCCGCTCGGCCCGCTACTCTTCGCCGCCGGGATTCATCCCGCCCTCACCAAAACCGCAGCGGCCTTCCCCTCCGTGATGTGCCTGGCCTTTGCTGACGACGTTACATTCTTGGGCGAGCCGCTGGACTGTTCGAAGGCCTTCTGCCACTTCACAGAGGGCCTGCGCGACGTGGGGTTGCGCCACAACCCAGAGAAATGCGCGGCGTGGAGCGCAGCGGCGGTCGATCCTCAGGTGCTGCCGCAGGGAGTCCCATTCTGTGAGGAGGGCCTGCGGGTGTTGGGGAGTTTCATCGGATCACAGGAAGGTGCAGCGGCTTTCCTACGCTCGCAACTCGAGTCCATGTCGACCCCACTGCCGCACCTCTCAAAAATGGACCCCCAAGTAACCTCACTGCTACTGACGCGGTGCATTTCCAGGCGCATATCCTACCTCGCCTGCACAACCCCACTCTACCTGTTGCCCGAAGCCGAATGGACCAGGTGGGGCCGGGCCCTGCTACACGCCCTTCTTGACGCATGTGGGGTGCGCCACCCACGGGGAGAGACGGAGGCCGGGCGGATATGGGACCAGGCATCACTCCCGCCAAGCCTAGGTGGGCTAGGCCTTGCAGACCCAGTGGTGGAGGGCCGGTACAGCTTCCTGGCCAGCCTCGTACAAGCGCACTCCCTCCTCAGCCCCCTCCCGGGCCCGGCGGGGTCTCACCTCACGGCAGCACTACACAGCCCTGAAGCGGCGGACCCGAGCCCGAACGAACTGCAGAGGTGGATCAACGACTGCAGAGAGAGCCTAACACAGGAATCAAGGGACCTGATTGCCTCCGAACTAGCCAAACCCGCAGGCCAGCTTCAACACCGACTGGCACTGATAGTCCAAGGCAGTAGGAGTGCCGCGCAGATCACTGCCTCTAGACAAATGGAGCTGAACCCCCTGGCGGGCCACACACAGCGCCTCATCTCACTCACGGGCTACGGGGCAGGGGACTGGCTACTCGCCATCCCCTACATGCCCGCCCTACGGCTCTGCCCCGAACACTTCACCTTCGCCCTCCAGTTCCGGCTCGGCCTGCCCATGTCCGTGCCCAAGTGCTGTGACTGTGACAAGCGGGTTGCTATCCTTGACAAGAGGCTGCCGAACCACCTGCTGCGCTGCGGTACGGGACACGATCGGACCAACACCCACAACGAGCTCCGCGACGAGTGCATCCGCATGGCGCAGGATGCCGGGTTCGCGGTGCACAAGGAGTGCACTGCCTTCAGCCCAGTAGATAACAAGAAGGCCGATTTGGCCTTCCGAGATCGGACCTCGGGGGCGGTATGGCTGGCGGACGTAACGATCACCGAGAGAGAGAGAGAGAGAGAGAGAGAGAGAGAGAGAGAGAGAGAGAGGCACCTTGCCTCTGCCCTCTCCCTTAGCCCTCTGCCCTCTCGGTTCCCTAGTATAAGAGGCCCCTCTTGGCCTCTTGCCTCTCATTATTCAGTGGTGTGGCTGAATTTTTCGCTCGCGTCGTCCGCCTTCGGCGGCCGACGCTCGACAGCGCGGCCTTCGGCCGCGCGCGAGGGACGGCAAGGGAGAAGCAAACAAGCAACTATCGCCAAGACATACATCGGATGAGAACAACTACCTCTACCTAAGACATTCATGGATCAATCCGGAGCGGATGCTACATCCGATCCGCCTGCAGGGCATGCAGAATGCCCGTCATCGTCTGCCACACCGAGCGGACCACCAGAATGGTGGCGCCAATCGCGTCGGCTCCGGAATCTGCCCGCAGGTACCTCCGTAAGTCCCGCACAGCCGCGTCCAATTGCCCCACAGCCCCAACGCCTCCCCGCACGGGCGCGGCCAACACAGGCGCTAGGAGGAGGGCAACTTGGTCGGCCGCGTCAAGACAATCGTCCCGCGGGCCGTCAAGCAGAGATTCCGCCGGAACAGGCGGAAGAGACCCGTGCGCCAGCGACTGCACAAGCAGGAGCGCACGGAGGCTCTCTGAGAGCCTCCATAACTGGCCGAGCGTCGCCTCCGGAACCTCGGCGCGCGGGGGAAGGAGCTCCTCCGCCAGAGAAGGGAGCTGTAGTTGAGGAAGTCCAGACCCACCACCACGAGCAGGGGCCGAGGGTGACGGCATTGACACCGCGGGCGTCGGGGCAACCACGGGGCGAGCCACCGGAAGGGGAGCAGATGGCGCGGGAGCTGCACGTCGCGAGCTGTTCTGACTCGCCGGGCCGGCCTGACCGTCGCGAAACGCATCAGTCACAATCTGCCGCACGTCCGCGATTGTTGCTGGCGCGTCCAGCCACCCGCCACGCCCGCGACCGCGACCTCCCCTCCAACCACCCTGGTGCGCATGCCAGTTCGCCTGCGGCTGCCGTCGGCGAGGGGAATCACGCCGTCGACGAGACACACCCCGCTCATCTTGGGGGGAGGGCGAATGCGGACGGGAGTTACCCTGCTGCACAGCCGGAGGAAGGGCAGGGGCAGACGCGGAAGCCGCGGGGAGAGGAGGGGCAGACTCCCCGCCCGGTGCACCAAGGGACGCAGCAGGAGACACCACAGGCAGCCCCACAGGCACAGGAGGAGGCGCCACGCCAGACGCAGGTGCCACTCCAGCAACAGCCGCCGTCTCAGCAGGTGACGGCAACACCGGAACGTGAGGCGCGGGAGAGGGCGCCGCGCCAGGAGCAGGGAGAGGCGCCACGTCAGCCGCAGGCACCAGAACGAAGGCAGGCACAGGCGCCGGCGCCGCCACGCGCGGTTGGACGGCCACACCCGCCGACTCTCGTCCAGAGTCGACTACCGTGGAGCTCGCGTGAGCAGGAGACCCCGCGGCTGACATCGCGGCAACAGGAGCCACCGGAGCCGACAGCGCCGGCGATGCAAGCGCAGCCAACGCCACGCCAAAGGGCCGCGGCGAATACGGCACTGGGGATCCGCCACCAACAGCCACAGGCTTCGCGAGGTGGCCGAGGCGGGCGACGGAGAGCGGCGGGGAGAGGGCGAGGTCGGGAGAACGGCTTCCAGCGGGCGGTGAGGCTAGCTTTAACAGAGGCGGATGACACCAACGCAGCTGAGGATGAAGCAGAAGAGGCGCGTGATCCCACCTTTATCGCCCAGCCAGCAGTGGAATCTACCACAGAAGGAAGTGGTGGGGATGAAGGGGACGCTGCCCCAGGAGCTGAGAGTCGAGCCAATGTTGCAACACCTCCCCGAGCCGCATCTGCACAAATTAGAATTGGGGGGGAAGCTCACCGCCACGCACCACTCACCACCACACAGCCAGCACAACCCCGCCAATTCTCGCCCGAACAGCTGGCGAAGGACACCACACGCTTCGGCGAAATCCAAAACTGGGACCTGACACCCCTTCGCGACTCTCGTCAGCCCCCCCTAAGCCGCAAGATCCCGCACGATATCCGCGCCAGTTTCGCAATGGCGATCCTGACACCATTGCTACACCTCTCGCGTAACCCTGACTCAGTGCCAGGGTGGCGACTGTTGCTCTTCATTCCCCGCCTGATTCTTCGCCAGGCGAAGCCAGAGAAGCCTGATTGGCCGACGGTGAAGCTGCGACTTCGCCAATTCTTCAAAGGCGAATGGAACCAGCTGTATGAGGCAGCGGTGTCAGCAATCGATACGCCGCCCCTGCCACGTCACCAACCTGATGCCCAAGGCAAGCGGGCCAGAGCTGAAGGCCTTGTTCGTAAAGGCAGCTTACGTAGGGCAATCCTAGCCCTGGAATCTACACCCGTGACAGATCCAACGCCCGAAACACTCGACTCACTCAAGGCCAAGCACCCCCCTGCGCCACCTGGATACATCGACTGGACACCCCCAGACCAAACCAAAGTGCCGACCATCACCAAAGCGGCCTTCGCGAAGCTCCTGTGTCGCTGCGAAAACGGGGTGGGTGGAGGACCGTCAGGGATGACCTTTGAACACCTCAGGGATGCGACCATCGTCAACGCAGCTGTTACCACCCATCTCCATGCTCTCGTTAGCACCATTCTCCAAGGGCCACTCCCCGTGGAGGTGTGCTCCTTACTCACTGCATCTCGACTCATCGCCCTCGCTAAGCCGGAAGGGGGTACTCGCCCCATAGCAGAAGGGGAGTGCATCTTACACCTCGCGGCGAAATCAGCGCTATATGCGCTAGCGGACGAGGCACGCCACCACTTCCTCCCGTTACAGTACTGTGTCGCCGTTCAGGGGGGTAGCGAGGCGATAATCCATGCCGCCCGTTCGTATTTGAGCACGCATAGCAGGGCCATGATTTTACAGGCGGACCTCTCGAACGCTTTCAATAGCATTAGCCGCGAGGCGATAGTGGCGGGCCTACGCGACACCGCGCTGCAAGGGATCCTGCCCCTAGTCCGAATCTCTTACGGCGCGCCGTCCGAGCTTTTTCTCGACGCTGGATTTAATAGCCCTCCGCTAACCAGTGTCACGGGGGTACGTCAAGGCGATCCACTCGGGCCGCTGCTCTTCGCGGCAGGTATTCACCCGGCTCTTGCCGCGACAGCAGCCTCCTTCCCGACCGTGCTCTGCCTCGCATTTGCTGACGACGTCACGTTCTTGGGGGAAGCAGCGGAGTGCACGGCGGCGTTCAACCACTTCACTAGCAGCCTGAGAGACATGGGGCTGAGACACAACGCAGGGAAGTGCGCGGCGTGGAGCACAGAGGAACCACCGGAGGGGTCCTTGCCAGCTGGGGTCCCATTCTGCCCGAACGGTCTGCGGGTGTTGGGCAGCTTCATTGGCGCGCCAGAAGGAGCAGCCGCCTTTATCCGAGCGCAGCTGCAGGCAATGACGACTCCCCTCCCGCAGATATCCGACCTCGACCCGCAAACAGCGTCGTTGCTGCTGACGAGGTGCATTTCGAGGCGGATGTCTTATCTCGCTCGCACCACCCCACTCAGCCTACTGCCAGAGGAAGAATGGTCACGATGGGGCGAGGCGCTGCTCCACACTCTGCTAGACGCCTGCGGCGTGCGGCATCCAAGGGGGGAAGCAGAGGGGAGACGTGTGTGGGACCAGGCCTCCCTCCCCCCAAGCCTGGGGGGCCTGGGGCTCGCAGACCCAGCGGTGGAAGGACGGTACAGTTACCTGGCAAGTTTCGTCCAGGCCCATGAACTCCTTGCCTCCCTGCCCGGCCCTGCCGGGGCCCACCTCTCTACCGCGCTGAACTGGACAGAGGAGGTGGATCCGGACCCGAACCAACTGCAAGCCTGGCTCGGGGAGTGCAGGGCAAGCCTCACACAGGAGGGACGTGACCTGCTGGTGGCAGAAATGGCAGCGCCCAAGGGACAGCTGCAGCACCGACTCGCCCTCCTGGTCCAGGGGGGGCGCAGCGCCGCACAAGTAGCAGCATCGCGGCACATAGAGCCGAACCACCTATGCGGCCACACGCAGCGGCTCCTGTCCCTCACAGGCTATGGTGCAGGGGACTGGCTGATAGCCATCCCCTACATGTCCTCCCTCCGCCTCAACCCCGAACACTTCTCGTTTGCCCTCCAGTTCCGCCTAGGACTGCCTCTCCCCGTCCCTGACAACTGTGACTGCACCAAGAGAGTCGCCACTGCAGACAAGCGCCTCCCCAACCACCTCCTCCGCTGCGGCACAGGGCACGGGCGGACCAACACACACAACGAGCTGCGGGACGAATGTGTGAGGATGGCGCAGGACGCGGGGTTCATCGTGCACAAGGAGAGCACGGCGTTTAGCCCGGTCGACAACAAGAAGGCCGACCTGGCCATGCAGGATCAAAGCAGTGGGGCGGTGTGGCTAGGCGACATCACCATCACCGACCCCATCAGCAAGAGGGACGAGACGGCAAGGAATGGAAGGGGTTGGGCAGCAAGGGAGGCGGCGGACAAGAAAATAGGGCTATACCACGGCAGGGCAGAATTTGCGGGCTTTTACCCCCTGGCAGTCGAGACCTATGGCTGCCCATGTGACGAGGTGCAGGCCTTCCTGAAGCACCTGGCGGACAGAGCAGCACGCTTGCACTTCAACGCGGACCCCTCAACCTACCAGGCCGCCAAGCTGCTGCACCAGTTCCGCCAGCGGTGGTCGGTTGCCCTGCAGAGGGCACAGGCCGTGAGCTTCCTCATCAAGATGAACCAGGCAGCCCAGATAGAAAACCCAGACCTAGGGGGACCAGAGGGGGTCCTGGACCCAGGGGATTGCTTTGCAACCCTAGAGCCGTGCAATGGTAGTGAGTAGACGTCTTGGGCAGCCATATGTCTGACGCCCTGGCGATTAGCCACTATACCAACCTGCCTTGGAAATATTAGCCTTGGTACTATAGACGGTGTAGACCCCCTGGCGATTAGCCACTATACCAACCTGCCTGACACCGTCAGCTTCTTCCCCCTGGCGGTTGAGACATATGGCTGCCCTTGTGCCGAAGTCCCGAAGTTTCTGAAGCTTCTGGCGGACACAGCTGCTAGGCGTCATTTCAACGCCTTACCAACCTCCTACCATGCAGCTAGGTTCCTCCACCTCTTCAGGCAACGCTGGTCGGTGGCGCTACAACGGGCACAGTCCGTCGGATACATCATTAAGACCTGCTAGGCGGCCGTAGCAGAGAACCCCCCGGTGGGAGGGGTCCGGTCCGAGCTTCACCTTGGGGATTGTTGTGTTGTGTTGGAACCTCTCATGGAGGTGTAGATAGGCACAATGGGTCTGGCTAGCTAGTAGTAAATCCCTTGTTCTAGGCTGGATACTTGCATGTGTGTACCTCTTTGACATATCAATACAAGGACCATTAGAGAGAGAGAGAGAGAGAGAAGCAGTGGAGCAGTTTACATCTGTGACGTCACTGTCACCGACCCTATTAGCACTAGGGACCCTGAGGCTCAAAAAGGCAGGGGGTGGGCGGCACGAGAGCAGGCCGACAAGAAGATCAAGCATTATGCCAACCACCCGGAGACGGTTGGCTTCTTCCCCCTGGCAGTGGACACGTACGGCTGCCCATGCGCTGAGGTTCCCGTATTCCTCAAGCTCCTGGCAAACTCGGCGGCTCGGCGGCACTTCAACGCCGACTCCAAATCATTCTATGCCGCCAAGTTCTTGCACCAGTTCCGGCAGCGTTGGTCAGTGGCCCTGCAACGGGCCCAATCCGTGGGGCTTCTAATGAAGTTGGGTGAGGCGACGGCGGCTGAGAACCCTCCGGTGGGGGGCATTGGGCATGAGCTGCACCTAGGGGACTGTTTTGCAGTGGTGGAACCAATCCTGGAGACCTAGAGTGGGGCAGTAGGGCGGGGGGGAGCAGTAGAGGCTTAGGTGATGTTGCATTGTGTTTTCATTTGCTTACTTTCTGCCTTGCATGTGTGTACCTTCAGTTCAGCGTTCATTTGCTCTCCTAACCGAGCGGCTCGCGCAGGCCGCCTTCGGCGGCCGACGCTCGACAGCGCGGCCTCCGGCCGCGCGTGAGGGGACGGCAAGCAAAACGACAAACAGTTGCTCATACTAGGGGACATTACACGCATGGCAAGTCCTACGGCAAACTAGCAGGAAGCACGGAATCATGGGGCAGTCGGAGCCCGCATCTACATGCGGTGAGCTCCAAGGGCGTGAAGAACGCCCGTCAGGGAGCGCCACAGCTCCCGTACCACAAGCGTACTTGCGCCGATCGCCGCGGCTCCGGATCCTGCGCGCAAGTGCCTCCTCAAGCCCCGGACAGCATCGTCAAGCTGTCCCGCAGCAGCAGCGCCACCCTCCGCGGGCGCAGCCAACACGGGCGCCAGCAGCGACGCGAGCTGGTCCGCCGCGTCCAAGCACGTGTCACGCTGGCGGCTGCGGAAAGTCTCTTCAGGAATCACGGGGAGGGACGAGTGAGCAAGAACTTGAATCAGAAGCAACGCGTGGAGGCTCTCCGCGAGCCGGTGGAGCTGGCCAAGAGTTGCCTCCGGAACACGCGTCTGCGGAGGCTGCAGCGCCTCCGTCAGAAATAGCAGCGGCGCATCAGCAGCAATGTGGTGGGAATGCAGAGCCGCAGCGCCATCCCCCGCGGCAACAAACTCCACCCCCGCAACAGGCGGAACCGGTGGCAAATGCAGACGAGAGCCGGGAGCAGGCGCCGAGACAGAAGGAGATGGAGCTGACGGGGCGAGGACGGGAGGAGGAAATGCAGCAGCCGGCGGAGGGGCCACGGGAGGCTCAGGCTGACGAGGAGCCGCAGGCACCGGCGCGGCCCGCAGCGAACTGCTCTGACTCTGCGCCGCCCTCTCCTTGCGCACGGCCCGCGACACCTTTCGCTGGAGATCCGCCATTGTCACGGGCGGACGATATCTCCCTCCACCACCACGCCCGTGGGGGCCCCTCCAACCCCCATTGCCGCCGTGGTGAGCAGGCCACTGGGCCTGCTGCTGGTAGCGCCGAGGGGAGTTGCGCCGGCGCCGTGACGTCTCCCGCTCCTGTTGGGGCGCGGGAGAATGGGGGCGGGATAGGCGGCAGTCCGGCGACGGGGGACGAGACGGCTGCACTACAGGGGCCGCCGACAGCAGAGCAGGAGCCACCGGGTCCGCGCCAGGAAGCGCAACCATCGGAGCCGGGTCGACAGTGGTGGCGGACGCCGCCTTCGGGGAAGAAGCAGACGCCGGCGCAGGCACGTCGGGGACAGAAGCGGCCGGTGCAACGAGTGCGCCAACAGCAGGACCGGAGCGAGCTGCAGCCTCCCCAGCAGGCGCAGACGCCACCGGCGCAACCACGGGAGCCGGGTGCTCAGGAGCAGGAGCAGCAGGCGGGGCGGGCGGAGCCTCAACAGGAGCAGACGGGCCAGCCTCGCCCACGCCAAGGGGAGCCGCGGGTGCGGGGGGAAGAATCCTTTCAGCGTCTGCTGACGCGTGCTTCGGAGCCGGCGGTAGAGGAGGCTTCGGGGCCGTGGTCGCCTTTTCGGGCCCCGACTGAGGCCTGGCGACGACAGCCGACCAGGCGGCAGCGCGCTCTGGCGACGGCTCGTCAGCACTAGCAATCACCATCTCAAGCGCGGGGAAGCCGAGGGACAGAACGGCAAACGGCAAGCGGGGTTGGCGGAGGCCCAGAGAATGGATACCAGGCAGCGGCAAGAGCGGCTTTAACCAACTGGGATACGACTAATGAGGAAGACGAGCGGCTGGATCCCTCTTATAGAGAAGAAGCAGCACCAGATAGCGAGGGCGAAGAGACGGAGGAAGAGGAAGACGGGGCGAGGGAGAACACTGGCAGAATGGATGCAGTGGAGGAGCAAGCACGCTTGGACACGCCTCAGGAGACACGCCCACCACTCGATGCCGATCGGACGGAGGAACTTCCAACCTTCTCTTCCAGGGCGCGAGAGAGTCGTCCAAGAGGAAATCGGCAAGCGAACATTGGGATTGCGACGCGCTCAGCCGCTTCGAACCCCCGCTATTTTTCGCCTGACGAACTGGCGAAGCGAACAGACCTGTTCGCTGCCATCGGTACTTGGGACATCGCGGTTCTGTGCGACAGTCGTCAGCCATCGCTGTCGCGGCGCTTACCGCCAAATCTGTGTCAGCTGTTCTCGCTGGCGTTACTGACGCCGTTACTGCACCTCTCGCGAAACCCCGAGTCAGAGGCAGGATGGCGCCTGCTGTTATTTCTCCCGCGCCTAACCCTTCGTCAGACCTCGCCACAACGGCCGGATTGGCCAAAAATCAAAGCCCGTCTCCGAGCCTTCCAGCGTGGCGAATGGGAGCAACTGTACCTGGACGCGGTTGACGCAGTCAACGTGCCACCTCTGCCGCGGCACCGGCCCGATGCGACAGGTGTGATCAGCCGGGCCGAGGGTCTGGCGAAACGTGGCAGTCTTCGACGGGCCGTCCTCGCCCTGGAGTCAACCCCCGTCTGCACCCCCAGCCCCGAAATTCTGGAGGAGCTGCGTCAAAAGCACCCACCAGCAGCAAGCGAAGAGGTGACCTGGCCGACACCGCGTGAGTCAACACTTTCAATCGCCCACGCGGATTTCGCCAAGATGTTGGGCAGATGCGAAAATGGAGTTGGAGCCGGGCCTTCTGGGATGACATTTGAGCACTTGCGCGACGCGTCTATCACAAATGCGTCGGTCCGAACCCATCTGCACGCCTTGGTTAACACCATCCTGGGAGGAAATTTGCCAGGCTCGGTGGCGAACCTCCTGACCGCATCACGCCTCATTGCTCTGGCCAAGCCGAGGGGTGGTGCTCGGCCAATCGCGATCGGCGAGTGCTTGACAAGGCTGGCAGCCAAGGCTGCCCTGACAGTGATGGGCGAAGCTGCCCGCGAGTTCTTCCTCCCCCTATAGTACGGCGTGGCAGTGCCAGGTGGCGCCGAGACCGTAATCCATGCGGCCAGAGCTTTCCTGGACTCCCACCCCACCAGCCTGGTTTTGCAAGCGGACATCAAGAACGCTTTCAACAGTATTTCGCGACAGGCCATCGCCACTGCGTTACACGCCCCCGAACTCTCGCCACTCCTGCCGCTCGTCAGACTGACCTACGGTAACCCGTCACAGCTGTACCTGGATTCCAACTACAACTCCGAACCACTGCATAGCGAACGCGGGGTCCGCCAGGGGGACCCACTTGGCCCGCTACTGTTTGCGGCGGGGATACATGCCACGCTTCGCGACACTGCAGACACTCACGCTGGTGTACTTTGTTTGGCGTACGCGGACGACGTGACATTCATAGGGGGACATTGAAGACACTGTAGCAGCATTTACCCATTTCACGAGCAAGCTGTTGCTCCTGGGACTCGAGCACAATCCACAAAAGTGCGCAGCCTGGAGCTCGAACGCAGTCCAAGCAGCCCACCTACCTCCGGGGGTGCCGTTCTCCAAGGACGGTGTGCAACTACTAGGCAGCTTCATGGGGCCTGATAGCGGCGCGGCGACTTTCCTAGCAGGTCAGCTGGACGACATGGCGAAGCCGCTAACACTCATCGAACGGACGGACCCACAGGTTGCGGCACTACTCATCACACGCTGCATTTCGAGGCGGGTCGCATACCTCACACGGACGACGCCTCTTAACCTACTCCCCCGCGACAGATGGAGCCAGTGGGGTATGGACCTGCTCACCACGCTTCTTACCGCTTGTGACATTCGCACGCCGACCTGCAGGACGGAGAAAACACGCGTCTGGGAGCAGGCTTCGTTACCCCCATCGCTAGGAGGTCTCGGTATCACGAATCCCCTCGTAGAGGGGGTTTACGGCTTCGCGGCGAGCTTTACCCAGGCGGCGCTTTTTCTCAACGAACTCACGCTGGAAGAGGGGACCGCGCTCACGCTGGCCCGGAATCATATGCTCCTGCCGCGAGACGTCAGCACGCCACTACACACTTGGCTGATGGGGTGTGAGGAGGCACTACCAACAGACGCCCGGGAGATATTAGAAAAGGAGCGGTTGGAACGCTCTGACATTCGGCTCCAGCACGTGCTCGGACTGAAGGTGCACGGGAGTCGGTATGCCGTGCAGGTGCAAGCGACGAGGCGAATGGGGCTGAACCCGCTCGCCGGACACACGCAGCGGATGTACTCTCTGACTGGCTACGGCACCGGCGACTGGATTACGGCCATCCTAGTGGCTCCCACAAGGCGGATTGGGCCAGTGCATTTCGCCAATGCAGTGCGCTTCCGCCTCGCGCTGCCGTTTTCCACTCCAAAGAACTGCGACTGCTCGGAGCACACGGCCATCACTGACCCCCGGCTCCCAAACCACCTGCTCCGCTGCGGCACGGGCAAGCGCCGCACCAACACTCATAATGAACTGCGGGATGCATGCGTAAGCATGGCACAGGATGCGGGCTTTATAGTCCATCGGGAGTCAACGGCTTACTGCCCCATCGAGGAACAAACGGCGGATTTCACAATGTCGGACAGAAGCAGTGGAGCAGTTTACATCTGTGACGTCACGGTCACTGACCCTATTAGCACTAGGGACCCTGAGGCTCAGAAAGGCAGAGGGTGGGCGGCACGTGAGCAGGCCGACAAGAAGATCAAGCATTATGCCAACCGCCCGGAGACTGTTGGTTTCTTCCCCCTGGCAGTGGACACATACGGCTGCCCTTGCGCTGAGGTTCCCGTATTCCTCAAGCTCTTGGCAGACTCGGCGGCTCGGCGGCACTTCAACGCCGACTCCAAATCTTTCTATGCCGCCAAGTTCTTGCACCAGTTCCGGCAGCGTTGGTCCGTGGCCCTGCAACGGGCCCAATCCGTGGGGCTTCTAATGAAGTTGGGTGAGGCGGCGGCGGCTGAGAACCCTCCGGTGGGGGGCATTGGGCATGAGCTGCACCTGGGGGACTGTTTTGCGGTGGTGGAACCACTCCTGGAGATTTAGAGTGGGGTAGTAGGGTGGCAGCAGAGGTAGCTTAGGTGATGTTGCATTGTGTTTCATGTTGCTTGCTTTCTACCTTGCATGTGTGTACTTTCCAGCACTATCAATACACGGACCATTAGAGAGAGAGAGAGAGAGAGAGAGAGAGAGAGAGAGAGAGAGAGAGAGAGAGAGAGAGAGAGAGAGAGAGAGGAATAGCCTCTGCCATCCGCCCTTAGCCTCGGCCCTTGCCTCTCAGCCCTATTTAAGGCCGTCCTAAGGCCCTTCTCTTCATAGTTTGTTTGGCGGCCGGAAATACAAGTGCAAATACAAGCGAGTGACACTAGTAAGGACGTACAGGCAATGGCGGTTCATACACTGAACTAGACACACATGGCATCAATTGGGCAACCGGAGCCCGCAATTACATGCGGTGAGCTCCAAGGGCGTGAAGAACGCCCGTCAGGGAGCGCCACAGCTCCCGGACCACATGCGTGCTTGCGGCGATCGCCGCGGCTCCAGATCCTGCGCGCAAGTGCCGCTTCAAGCCCCGGACAGCCTCGTCCAGCTGTCCCGCAGCAGCAGCGCCACCCTCCGCGGGCGCAGCCAACACGGGCGCCAGCAACGCTGCGAGCTGGTCTGCCGCGTCCAAGCACGTGTCACGCTGGCGGCCGCGGAAAGTCTCAGGAGGAACCACGGGGAGGGATGAGTGCGCGAGCACCTGAATCAGCAGCAACGCGTGGAGACTCTCCGCGAGGCGGTGGAGCTGGCCAAGTGTCGCCTCTGGAACATGCGTCTGCGGGGGCTGCAGCGCCTCCGTCAGAAACAGCAGCGGCTCATTAGCAGCAACGTGGTGGGAATGCTGAGCCGCAGCGCCACCTTCCGCAGCAACAAACTCCACCCCCGCAACAGGCGGAACCGGTGGCAAATGCAGACGAGAGCCGGTAGCAGGCGCCGAGACAGAAGGAGAAGGAGCCGATGGGGCGAGGACAGGAGAAGGAAATGCAGCAGCTGGCGGAGGGTCCACGGGAGGCACAGTCTGACGAGGAGCCGCGGGCGCAGGCGCGGCCCGCAGCAAACTGCTCTGACTCTGCGCCGCCCTCTCCTCGCGCACGGCCCGCGACACCTCCCGCTGGAGATCCGCCATTGTCACAGGCGGACGGTATCTCCCGCCACCACCACGGCCGTGGGGGCCCCTCCAGCCCCCATTGCCACCAGGGTGAGCAGGCCACTGGGCCTGCTGCTGGTAGCGCCGGGGAGATTTGCGCCGACGCCGCGACGTCTCGTGCTCCTGTTGGGGCGCGGGAGAATGGGGGCGGGATAGACGGCGGTCCGGCGACGGGGGACGAGACGGCTGCACTACAGGGGCCGCCGGCAGCAGAGCGGGAGCCGTCGGGTCCGCGCCCGGAGGCGCAACCATCGGAGCCGGGTCGACAGTGGTGGCGGACGCCGCCTTCGGGGAAGAAGCAGACGCCGGCGCAGGCACGTCGGGGACAGAAGCGGCCGGTGCAACGAGTGTGCCAGGGGCAGGAACAGGGGGATCAGCAGCCGCCCCAGTAGGCGCAGACGCCGTCAGCGCAACCACGAGCCAGGGGAACGGGAGCAGCAGGCGGAGCGGGCGGAGCAACAATAGGAGCAGACGGGCCAACCTCGCCCACGCCAAGGGGAGCCGTGGGTGCGGAGGGAAGAGACTTTTCAGCGTCTGTTGTCGCGGGTTTCGGAGCCGGCGGTACAGGAGGCTTTGAGGCCGTGGTCGCCTTTTCGGGCCCCGACTGAGGTCTGGCGACGACAGCCGACCAAGCGGCAGCGCGCTCTGGGGACGTCGCGGGACGGAACAGCTAACAGCAAGCGGGGCTGGCGGAGGTCCAGAGAACGGATACCAGGCAGCGGCAAGGGCGGCTTTAACCAACTTAGACACAGCTAATGAGGATGACGAGCGGCAGGATCCCTCTGATAGGGAAGAAGCAACACCTGATAGCGAGAGCGAAGAGAGAGAGGATGAGGAAGGCGGGGCGAGGGAGAGCTCTGGGAGAAGGGAAGCAGGGGAGGAGCAAACACGCGTGGAAACGCCCCAGGAGGCATGCACACCGCCCGATGCCGATCGGACGGAGGAGCTTCCAACCTCTGTCTCCCAGGCGCGAGCGGGTCGTACTAGACGAAATCGGGCCGCGAACACGGGTGTTGCGACACGCTCAGCCGCTCCGATCCCCCGCTATTTTTCGCCTGATGAACTGGCGAAGCGAACAGACCTGTTCGCTGCCATCGGAACCTGGGACATCGCAGCTCTGTGCGACAGTCGTCAGCCTTCGCTGTCGCGGCGCTTACCGCCAAATCTGTGTCAGCTGTTCTCACTGGCGTTACTGACGCCGTTACCACACCTCTCTCCAAACCCCGAGTCAGAGACAGGATGGCGCCTGCTGTTATTTCTCCCGCGCCTAACCCTTTGCCAAACCTCGCCACAACGACCGGATTGGCCGAAAATCAAAGCCCAGCTCCGAGCCTTCCAGCGTGGCGAATGGGAGCAACTGTACCTGGACACGGTAGACGCAGTCAACATGCCACCTCCGCCACGACACAGGCCCGATGCGACAGGTGTGATCAGCCGAGCCGAGGGTCTGGCGAAACGTGGCAGTCTACGACGAGCCGTCCTCGCCCTGGAGTCAACTCCCGTCTGCACTCCCAGCCCCGAAATCTGGAGGAGCTGCGTCAAAAGCACCCACCTGCTGCGCACGAGGAGGTGATCTGGCCGACACCGTGTGAGTCAACACTTTCAATCGCCCATGCGGATTTCGCCAAAATGTTGGGCAGATGCGGAAATGGAGTTGGAGCCGGGCCGTCGGGGATGACATTCGAGCATTTGCGCGACGCGGCTATCACAAATGCATCGGTCAGCACCCATCTGCACGCCATGGTTAACACCATCCTGGGTGGAAATTTGCCAGGCTCGGTGGCAAACCTCCTGACCGCATCACGCCTCATTGCTTTGGCCAAACCGGGGGGTGGTGCTCGGCCAATCGCGATCGGCGAGTGCTTGACGAGGCTGGCAGCCAAGGCGGGCCTGACTGCGATGGGTGAAGCTGCCCGCGAATTCTTCCTCCCACTACAGTACGGCGTGGCAGTGCCAGGTGGCGCCGAGACTGTAATCCATGCGGCCAGAGCTTTCCTGGATGCCCGCCCCACCAGCCTAGTTCTGCAAGCTGACATCAAGAACGCATTCAACAGTATTTCGCGACAGGCCATCGCCACTGCGTTACAAGCCCCCGACCTCTCGCCACTACTGCCGCTCGTCAAATTAACCTACGGTAACCCGTCGCAGCTATTCCTGGATGTCAACTTCAACTCCGAACCACTGCATAGCAAATGCGGGGTCCGTCAAGGGGACCCACTTGGCCCGCTACTGTTTGCGGCGGGGATACATGCCACACTTCGCGAAACTGCAAATGCTTACGCTGGTGTGCTCTGTTTGGCATATGCAGACGACGTGACATTCATAGGGGACACCGAAGACACTGTAGCAGCATTTACCCATTTCACGAGCAAATTGTCACTACTGGGGCTCGAGCACAACCCACTGAAGTGTGTAGCCTGGAGCTCGAGTGCAGTCGAAGCAGCCCACCTACCTCCAGGGGTGCCGTTCTCACAGGACGGCGTGCAACTACTAGGAAGCTTCATGGGGCCTGACAGCGGCGCGGCGACTTTTCTAGCAGGACAGCTGGACGACATGGCGAAGCCGCTGACACTCATCGAACGGACGGACCCCCAGGTTGCGGCACTACTCATCACGCGCTGCATTTCGAGGCGGGTCGCATACCTTACAAGGACGACGCCCCTAAACCTCCTCCCCCGCGACAGATGGAGCCAGTGGGGTATGGACCTGCTCACCACGCTCCTTACCGCTTGCGACATCCGCATGCCGACCTGCAGAGCAGAGCAAACACAGGTCTAGGAGCAGGCGTCGTTACCTCCGTCGTTGGGAGGTCTCGGAATCACGAAGCCCCTCATCGAGGGGATTTACGGCTTCGTGGCGAGCTTTACCCAGGCGGCGCTCTTTCTCAACAACCTCTCGCTGGGAGAAGAGAACGCGCTTACACTGGCACGGAATCACATGCTCCTGCCGCGGGACAGCAGCACGCCACTGCACACTTGGCTGACGGGGTGTGAGGTGGCACTACCAACAGACGCTCGGGAGATATTAGAAAAGGAGCGGCTGGAACGCACTGACATTCTGCTCCAGCACGTGCTCGGATTGAAGGCGCACGGGAGTAGGTACGCCGTGCAGGTGCAAGCGACAAGGCGCATGCAGCTGAATCCGCTCGCGGGACACACGCAACGAATGTATTCCCTGACGGGCTATGGCACCGGCGACTGGATCACGGCGATCCCGGTCGATCCCACGAGACGGATTGGGCCGGTACACTTCGCTAACGCAGTACGCTTCCGACTGGCGTTGCCATTCTCAACCCCCAGGAATTGTGACTGCTCGGAGCACACGACCATCACTGACCCCCGCCTCCCCAATCACCTGCTTCGCTGCGGCACGGGCAAGCACCGCATAAACACTCACAATGAGCTGCGGGACGCCTGCGTTAGCATGGCGCAGGATGCGGGCTTTATAGTTCACCGGGAGTCCACCGCCTACTGCCCCATCGAAGAGCAAACGGCGGATTTCACAATGTCGGACAGGAGCAGCGGGGCGGTTTACATTTGTGACGTCACCGTCACTGATCCTATAAGCACCAGGGACCCGGAGGCTCAGAAAGGCAGGGGATGGGCGGCGCGCGAACAAGCCGACAAGAAAATTCAGCATTACGCCAAGCGCCCGGAGACAGTAGGTTTCTTCCCCCTAGCAGTGGATACCTACGGCTGCCCGTGCGCGGAGGTACCCGTCTTCCTCAAGCTCCTTGCAGACACAGCGGCTCGGCGGCACTTCAACGCCGACTCAAAATCCTTCTATGCCGCCAAGTTCCTGCATCAGTTCCGGCAGCGATGGTCAGTGGCCCTGCAAAGGGCTCAATCAGTGGGACTCCTAATGAAGTTGGGTGAGGCGGCCGCAGCAGAGAACCCTCCGGTGGGAGGCATTGGACACGAGCTGCACCTTGGGGATTGTTTTGCGGTGGTTGAGCCCTACCTAGAGCTCTAGAGAGGGAAATGAGTAGGTAGTGTTGTGTTGTGGTTTCTGTTTTGTTTTAGAATTTCAAACACCTGCATGCATGTACTTTGCAACTCTATCAATACAAGGACCATTAGAGAGAGAGAGAGAGAGAGAGAGAGAGAGATTGAGCACGAGGTGGCGAATGAGGAGGGAAGCGCTGACAACAACGACAGCGGGAGTGAATTTAATCCTGACAACGAGCGTGCTTCTGAGGAACTCTCACAGTACGAGGGGGAGAGTGAAGAGAGAATTGCCACGCGAGGTAGGGCAAGGATTGGAGATGGCGGGAGAGTCAACACTGAGGAACCAGTAGATGGCGCTGAACCAGCACCACAGCCGGAGCCAAGCATACGTCAACCATCCGACCTGGCGGGTGACACTGGACTATGGCAACAGGTGGCATCATGGGACACGACAAAGCTCCAGCAGAGCAATCAGCCCTTCCTAGTCCGACGGCTGCCACCTAAGCTACTGGAGAGCTACACGCAATGTTTACTGACCCCGCTCCTGAGAGTGACGAAATATCCCGACTGTCCAGGAGGATGGAAACTGTTGCTGTTCCTGCCGAGGCTGACCCTGCGACCCTTGCCGGAGCCAGTGGAGGGGACTCGGTGGGCTGAAATCGAGCACAGGTTACACCAATTCAGGCTCGGCAGGTGGGACGCGCTCTACATCGAGGCCAGTGTCATCCCCGACACAGGAGAACCGATACGACATCAGCCTGACGATGTGGGCCTGTGTGCTAGAGCAGAAGGGCTCGTAAAAAAAGGGAATATTTCGAAAGCTGTTGCAGCGTTACGCGTAACACCACTGGCCGACACATCGCCAGAGACCCTCGCAGCACTACGAGCGAAACACCCCAACGCGGAAACGCCAACCCCTGCTGTGGTTACAGGGTACGCCACTGCTTCACTCAGCATCAGCCATGACGACCTTCGCGAACTGCTGGCGAAGTGCCCGAATGGAGTGGGAGCAGGCCCATCAGGCACCTGCTTCGAACACCTAAAGGATCCCGCCCACACAAACGAGGAGGCCCTAATACTACTCACGCGCGTAGTTAATCGCCTGCTTGGAACACTCCAGACCCAGGAAGTCCGCGACATGCTACTCCCATCACGCCTCATCGCCCTAGAAAAGCCAGGGGGCGGGGTACGACCTATAGCCATTGGCGAGACCATACTCAGAATAGTGGCGAAAGCGGCGCTACGCGAATTAGCACCGAACATAAGAGAATTTTTCCTGCCTGTGCAATACGGAGTGGGAGTTGCGGGCGGCGCCGAATGTGTTATCCACACCGTCAGATCGCTCCTGCGGGACGATAGTAAACGCATCGCACTGCAGCTAGATATCGAGAATGCCTTCAACAGTGTAGAACGTTCCGCCTTCTTCACTGCACTCTCCCGGTCGAACCTGCAGCCGCTCATACCCCTCGTCCGCACGCTCTATGACGGACCCTCCCGCCTGCTCGTCGACACACGCTTCGACGCAGATCACATAGCGAGCACTAGGGGGGTGCGACAAGGAGACCCACTGGGCCCATTACTCTTCGCCGCGGCCATCCAACCTACCCTACTCACGGCGGCCACGCTCCTCCCAGAGGTGGCGGTTGTGGCCTACGCGGATGATATCACGATCGTAGGCCCACAGGAGGCGGCGTTCCTAGCATTCGACTCCATCACACGCGGTCTAGCATCATGCGGGCTGAAATGCAACATTGGGAAATCTTCAGCATGGACACCCAACGGGATAGAAGCCCAGGACGGCACGCCTCCAGAGGGGCTAGAGCTGAGCAGAGAAGGCATCCAGGTGCTGGGCAGCCCCATCGGTACAGAGGAATTCTGCACAAACCAAGTTGTCGCGAAGCTCACTGACGCCTCTGCACCACTCCCCTTAGTCGCCCAGATGCACCCTCAACACGCCCTGCTCATCATCTCGCGAAGCATCAGCAGGAGGGTGTCCTACCTGCTACGCACCACACCATCACAGACGCTGCCGAGAGAGAGCTGGAGGGGATGGAGCGAAACCTTGCTGGAAGCGGCACTCACCTCGGCCAAACTACGGATGCCGAGGAGTGAGCTCGAACAGAGTTTGCTCTGGCGACAGGCAACACTCCCAATACGGCTTGGGGGGCTGGGCATTGTGGACCCAACTTCGGAGGCACCGGCAGCACACATTGCATCAATCACAGCGGCGCAACAACTGCTGCAGCAGATGAACATTGAGAAAGAGCACCTACTGAGCCGGGCAACAACACTGCTCTCTCACACTTGGAACCCGGAGCCCCCCAACAGCAACCAGCTCACGGCACTGGAGGAGGAGCTCCCTGCAAGTGCGAGAGCGGCGCTGCAGGCCTTCAGAGAACGCCCACCAGGCGCCGGCAACCTGCAGCTGCTCCTATCCAGGCACATCTGGGAGACAAGGGCGAGGGAGCTCGTGGCTGACACAATGATGGATAGGCCGGGGAAAGACAACGGGCACGCAGTGAGACTCATCGGCCTGCAGGGAATAGGGGCAGGAGATTGGCTGCACGCTGTGCCAACGAGGGCTGACCTTACATTATCCCCTGGTCAGCTCTCGATGGCGTTGGGCTTCCGTCTAGGAATGCAGCTGCCGGTTACAGTCAAGTGCCCTTGCAAGCGGAAAAACTCGGACATCAGTGACACATCGCTCCCGAATCACCTACTTAGATGTGCGGACGGAGGGGACGTGGTTAGGACACATAATGCACTGGTGTATGCAGCACTCCGGATGGCGAGGGAGGCAGGTTTCTCGACCTTCCACGAAACCACCACCTTCTCCCCCCCTGTGCTACGTAAGAGGGCAGATTTAGCAATCCAGGACCAGGAATCGGGTGAAACCTTCGTCACGGACGTGACCGTGACCGACCCAGTCCTACAGAGGCGCGACACCAGAGCACGGAAGCCGCCAGGGTGGGCGGCAAAGGAAGCATCCGAGAGCAAGCATAGGCTCTACGAGGGTCGCCCGGACTGTGTGGGGTTTTTTGGTTTGGCGGTTGAGACATACGGGGCCCTGGCAGCAGATACGGTGCAGTTTTTGCGGTTGCTAGCAACCTCGGCAGCAAAGAAGAAGTACCGCCAAGGCAAACTCACCACCACGGCTGCGCGGCTCACAGCTCATTACAGGCAGCGGTGGTCCATAATGCTCCAGCGTAGCCAGGCGGTGTCCTTCCTTTCCAAGTCAAACCGAGCTGCCGAGGCGGCCTTCCCTCAGGGACCCACGGATCCATGGGAGCCAAGCCTGGGCGACCTTTGGCAGGTGCTAGAGGATGAGATGGAGGGGGTAATGGGGGAGTAGGGCAGCACGGGCTGGTCAGGAGGGCAGCTGAACAGGAAGGACAAGGGTAAAGGCTGCAAGATGGGCAGGGGATCGGGAGATGGAGTGGCTTGAGGGTACCGGGTCTGATTTGTTGCAGGTAGAACTCGCATGTAGCTATATCTTGCAGGGCCATGAATGCAGGCATATCTAGAGTAGACAATGGCCTAGTCCCTACTCATGCCATGCTTGTACCTTTCTGATCCTATCAATGAAGGACTGCTTGAGAGAGAGAGAGAGAGAGAGAGAGAGAGAGAGAGAGAGAGAGAGAGAGAGAGAGAGAGAGAGAGAGAGAGAGGAGAGAAAGAGAGAGCGAGAGAGATAGGAGAGACAGAGAGAGCGAGAGAGATAGGAGAGAAAGAGAGAGCGAGAGATATAGGAGAGATAGAGGGCAAAAGGGAGAGTCGTTATTGGGGAAAGAGCTAGATAGCGGAAAAGGGAGGGAGAGAGGGAAGACAGGAATAAAGGCAAGAGAGCGAGAAAGGCAAGAGAGCGAGAAAGAGAAGAGAGGGAGTGGGAGAAAGGGACAGAGGAATGAAGGTAGAGAGCAAGGTAGGGAGGGACGGAGGGAGAGAGGAAGAGAGGGGAGAGGGAGAGATGGAGGGAGGAAGAGACGGAGGGTGGACGGAGGTTGGTGACTGAAGGGAATCGTATATGGGGGGGTGGAGGCGGGTACGGGGAAGCTTGCGCGAAATAAAGAGGGGGGGAGCGACGAGGAGAAGCGCGTGCGAAATAAAGAGGCGGGGGTGACGGGGAGAACCTTGGGCGAATTAAAGAGGCAGGGGCGACGAGTAGAATCGAGAGCGAAGTAAAGAGGCGGGGGCGACGAGGAGAAGCGCGCGCGCCTGACGAGGAGAAGCGCGGGCGGGCGACAAGGAAAAGCGCGCGCGGGCAACGAGGAGAAGCGCGCGTGGGCGGCGAGGTGAAGAGCGCGTGGGCGACGAGGTGAAGTGCGCGTGGGCGACGAAGCGCGCGTGGGAGACGAGGAGAAGCACGGGATGGTGGGAAGCGCGGGCAACGAAGGGAAGCGAGGGCGACGAGTGGTAGATATCGTGAGCGCAACGCCAGACAGCGTGAGTGACTAGTGTTGGCCACAAAAAAACGCCTCTACCTGAGCTAGCTTCTATCGCCCTGCCGCACCTTTCCTAGTTACATGAGCATTCAGGTGGACTAGGAGTACTAGTTGGTCTTCAAGATATGTAAGGTGTTCACGCCAACATTGTGGACGACGGTCGGATGTGTGTGCGACTGGGCATAGAAACCAATCAGGAGTGAGGGTCGCAAGAGGTTTTCCCTGAGTCGCGAGTTGTTTTTCAAACCAAAGAGGGTTACCTTGTTTTTTGCGACTTCAAGTTTAAGAATCTTGAACTTGAAAAATACCATGCTGTACTCGGGCTTAAATCGTACACACCGACAGGTGTTTCATAATCAAGAACACCCATCTATAAGATGCACCCGTTTTAACGACACCCCCTGTTTTCAATTCGACACTGTCTTATATCCGGGCGATGACGGTATCGATGTAATTGCACATGATTCAGGGAACATTCCGCTCAGGACATGTCCCTTAAGAGAGTGTCGCAAATGCATTTTGCCCGAGTCGCGCTCAAGTGTCTCTGAACCTCATGTCACAAAGACTCGATGTACTACGACCCTGCACGACCTCACGACAATTATACATAAAGGGCTGTGATTGGCCCATTGGATGATTGTTTCCAGGATTCCCATTGGACGGATGAGGGCGAAGTGCCATACTACGTACAGAAACTTCAGGATAATTACATACATGCATCACCTTCTGGTGTGAATGATTGCCGTTGCATAGGATTTTGGAATGCCATACGAATCCGCAAGCTGCCAAGACAACTTATGCAGGATCCCTCCTCATGTTGCCCCTTGCCTGCTTTTAAGCAAGGAAAACAAAACACAGAGGGAGGAGGGAGGAGGCACAAATCGAAGGGAGTGGTAGCGTGGAAGAAAAGGGGCGAAGAAAAATGGGGAAACAGTAGGGGGTTGCGTGCGAATAGAAAATGGGTAGAACATAACTACAAAATAAAGGGTGCCCATGCACTTCTGCAGCGTTGCATGGCTATACGCACCTGGCACTTGTGCTCTCAGGTGCTCGGCCAAAAATAATGCCAGAACTTGCAGCCAGACTTGGTAGGGTCGGTACCCCGTAGGGTCAGGACTTCGTAGTAGAAGGATCGATATAGCTCTGGCACCTGTTGCAGCAGAATCCACCTGGCACTTGAGCCACCGATGTGCTCGAATCAAACTTCTATCGCAGCTCAGCAGCAAGCAGCTCAGCCTCCACCAGATAAGCCTCCCAACAACCCACCTGACACTCCCAGCAACAACAACCCACCTGACACTCCCAGCAACAACAACCCACCTGACACTCCCAGCAACAACAACCCACCTGACACTCCCAGCGACAACAACCCACCTGACACTCCCAGCAACAACAACCCACCTGACACTCCCAGCGACAACAACCCACCTGACACTCCCAGCAACAACAACCCACCTGACACTCCCAGCAACAACAACCCACCTGACACTCCCAGCAACAACCCACCTGACACGTCAACCACGGATGTGCTCGAGGCAAATCTCTTCTGCAGCTCAGCAGCGAGCAGCTCAGCCTCCACCAGATAGGCCTCGACGCCTCTCACCCGCGTCACCTTCTTGCTGCCCTGCCGACCCCTCACGAATATCTGCACTGGCTCTTCTCCACCTTCCGCTCCACACTCCTCTTTCTCCCTCTCTCTACCCCGTGTCGCGCCTGCATTTGCAGCAGTAGCATGGGCCTCACCTCCCACTTATGGCATTCTACTGCTTATGGAGGAGAGGAGGAGTAGAAGGCATGTGGGTCGAGCCCCACTGATTAAAAAACGGGAGAGACATGGTGACACAGTTTGAGCAACTCTGTTATTGCCACGGTGGTTGTGGTAGTGCTGGCTTCAAACGCTATTCCTAGTGTACCAAAGGAGCTACCTTGGGTTGCAGTTGTGGCGGCTTGGGCGGATTTGCTTGTCTTATGTGGCCAGAATTCAAGGAGGGCCTGGTGGCGGTGGTTGATAGATGAGATGATGAGCTCCATGTGGTGCTTGTCCTCCTTGCCGCTTATCTAGCAAGGAAAATAGCAGAGGGAACATAGCAGGCGGTGTATAGCAAACGGAAGGGAGCATAGCATAGGGCGGGGCAGAGGTAACACAGCTGGGGGAGCATAGCAAGGGAGCATAGCAGAGGTAACACAGCTGGGGGAGAATAGCAAGGGAGCATAGCAGAGGTAACACAGCTGGGGGAGCATAGCAAAGGGAGCATAGCAGAGGTAACACAGCAGAGGGAGAATTGCTAGGGAGCATAGCAGAGGTAACACAGCTGGGGGAGAATAGCAAGGGAGCATAGCAGAGGTAACACAGCTGGGGGAGAATAGCAAGGGAGCATAGCAGAGGTAACACAGCTGGGGGAGAATAGCAAGGGAGCATAGCAGAGGTAACACAGCAGGGGGAGCATAGCAAAGGGAGCTGGCGAGCAGGCGCGAGGGTTTGACAGAGACGGAGCGGACCGGCAGAGATGGAGCTGTGCTGGTGACATAGCACAGAGGGAACATAGCACAGAGGGAACATAGCACAGAGGGAACATAGCACAGAGGGAACATAGCCGCCGCAGCCGCCAGGTATGGCAAACGGCCTTTGCTGGGCACGACCGGGTCCGGCTAACGGCCTTTGCTGGGCACATAGGAGCTTTATGAGCATGGTGGGGAAGGGGGGAGGAGCGTCAGGCGCTGCTCCATATGGCGGAGCCGGCATGGCATCGGGGTCGGGCACGACAAGATGACTCTGTTGGGGTCATACGAGTCCTCTGCTGTGTCCCTGTGGGGGGAGATGGGGGATAAGACTAACCATGATTGTATGAGAGAGGATGGGCAAGGGCAGTTGAGCGAGCACTACACTGAGGCACAGCCAGGTGTGGTAGGAAGTCCTGTTGGGGACGTAGGATCAATTTTCTGTTTCCCTGTGGCCATGGGATTGGGGGGACGAGGAGGAGGAGCATAAACCATGGCAATACAAGGGGAGGGGAGTGTGGGCATGAGAGCAGAAGAGCAATGCACCACAGACAGGCACCACCACAGACAGGCGCCACCACAGCCAGGCACAATCACAGACAGGCACCACCACAGACAGGCACCACCACAGACAGGCACCATCACAGACAGGCACCACCACAGACAGGCACCACCACAGCCAGGCACCACCACAGACAGGCACCACCACAGCCAGGCACCACCACAGACAGGCACCACCACAGACAGGCACCACCACAGATAGGCACCACCACAGCCAGGCACCACCACAGACAGGCACCACCACAGCCAGGCACCACCACAGACAGGCACCACCACAGACAGGCACCACCACAGACAGGCACCACCACAGCCAGGCACCGCCAGGTCTGACTGACAAGATGGCATTGTCGGTCGGTGGGGAGCGACAGAAGGTAAGAGGGTTTTCATGCATGTAGACTGACAGCAGTGCTGACCAGAGGCAGTAACGGTAGTAGTGGGTTATTCGGAGCAGCTTTCCCCTCATGCCGGCTCTCACAGCCTCTGCACTGCCCACCATCGTTCTGCCCACCCCGGTGTGCGTGGCGGGTGGTGGGGTTGAGAGGGAAAGGAGGGCATGAGATTCAGTGAGCATGGAGAGAGGGGAGGAGGGATATGTGTGCTCTCACGGCCCCTGCACTGCCCACCATCGTTATGCCCACCTGTTGTGCGTGGGGCAGTGGGGTTGAGAGGGAAAGGATGACAGGAGAGTGGTGGGTGAAGAGAAAACGCGCAGGGTGGATGGTCCAGCATGGAGTAGAGTGAATCGGGTGGACCAGGATAGAGCACGGTGGAGAACGGTGGAGAACGGTGGAGCACAACAGTGGTGCAACTTTGTGATGCAAGGAGATGAGCACGTACAACAATGAGGCGGGAGTTTCCTGGAACCTTCACGGACCACACCTCCCCTGGTCGAAATGCTCGCAGGCCTTCGGCCGGCACTTGGCGGACAGAGGAGTGTAGAGGAAAGCAGAGCGTGTAGAGGGGAGCTGAGCCTGAATTTTTGCCCTCTTGACTGACCTCGACCCTCGCTCTCACCTGCACGCCTGGCGCCATGAGGGCAGCCCCTGACAGCACGTAGCGGGAGACCTCTCATGCACTGGAAGCTGCACTCCTCCCTCTCCCTGTAACCTATTGCAATTTACCCTAAACCCTGATCCCACTTGCACCTGCACGCCCGGTGACAGGAGGTCAGCCCCTGACAGCACGTAGCAGGAGACCTTCCAAGCACTAGAAGCTGCATTCTACCCTCTCCCTGCACCCTACTGCACTGTACCCTAAACCCTCGTCCCACTCTCACCTGCACGCCTGGCGCCATGAGGTCAGCCCCTGACAGCACATAGCGGGAAACCTCCCCTCCCTTGAGCAGGAAGGACGGCAGCAGGTCGGGTACAAGCCATAGCGCAAACACTGAGGAAGGGAGTGGGGTTAAGGTGACAGGGGTTCAGGGTTTGAAGGTGACAGCGTTGCGGTTGGCCTCAAGAGACAGTTGAGTCGAATTGGAGGTCAACACGTCCCCTTGAGCAGGAACGACGGCACCAGGACAGGCACAAGCCACAGCGCAATCACTGGGGATGGGGAGTGGGGTTGTGTGAATGATGCGAGAGGATTGGTGGGACAGTTGACTCTTGAGTCGATTCAAAGGCCACCTCCCCGCCCTTAATAAGAACAAGGGCAGCAGATCAGCCACCCAGCGCGAACACTGGGGATGGATGGGGTGGGGTTGCAGGGAGTGGGTGTGTCAGTCAGCGATGGGTACAAGACAAGACGCCTCAGTCCTCCCTGAACCGGAGCAAGAACAATGGCAGCAGGTCAGGCACAAGCTACAAGGGAAACAATGGGAATAGGGCGTCAGAAATGGGTTTGAGGGGCAGGAATTGAGTGCATGAGGTTGAGATTCTGAAATTCAAGGTTTCGGGGTTGATAAGCGGAGTGTGAGCAGCAGGTGACTGTTGAATTGCAGTGAAGATAACTGAAGTACTAGCATGGGACGGGAACGGAGGGTGCACCAGAAGCACATGCAATGGATGGCAACCCCCAATGGGAGATTGGTGGAAGGGGGAAAATATATAACCGGAAAATTGAACTATTACACCCGCATGAGGGCTGGGGGAAAGAACAGCGGAGGGGAGCGGTGAAGGAGGAAAGGAGGAGGGGGAGGAAAAGGGTTCGTGTGAGAATTTGTGTGGTTACATGGCGATGTGGTTACCAGTGGGGTAGATCTCGGTGCCCCTGCCGTCGCAGTCGAAGAGCATGGGCAGCCCGCTCTCGAGTCCGTACACCAGCACGCGATTCACCAGCCTCGTCACTGCCACGTCAGCCTGGATCCCCAAACAAACCGAGGCAAGTTCCTTGCAAAAAAAAAAATCGTATGGATTCCGAAAACTCCACTGAGGAGAGCAAGAAATCCGGAGAGCGCAAGCTTCGTAGCTGATTAAGGACGGCGTGGTTAGGAAAGAGCGGCGAGGATTCAGCACGCAGGTTATCATGAGGCGAATGAGTGGGTCTTCATGGAGGTTAACCGTGGGGTTGATACGAGGGTTAAAGCGGGGAGATACTAAGAAGCACCTTGGGCGGCAGGATCGCGTCGTCAGTGGCGCCTGGAAACTTCTCTCGGATGTTTCGCCGAACCTTCTTTCTGTCCGCCCCTGACAGACGCTGCTGCCCGCGAACGTCGCTAGGCTTTTTAAACATGGCCCGATAATAAAAAATGGGCTCTGTACGACGGTATGGTTCAAAGGCTTTAATTCCTAGTAGTTGCCTGTACTCCGAAGGCGCGGTTCAAAGAAAAATTATGTACATGTGGGATGTACGCCCACCCTAGGCTGACCCGACGAAATTGCTGACCCCAACGTTACTACTAGGTTATCTGAACCTCACCCAAAGGTGACTTACAGGTCAAGTGCAGTCTGGCGAGACCCGCGGGTCGCTTTGAGGTTACAAAATCCAGTGGAAAAAGCCCGCCTGACCCGAAAATGACCCCAACCTGACCCCGCACCGCGCACCCAGAACAACCGAGCCGCCATTCCGTTGAGCATTGGCCAATCGGAATGCAACAAACACGACATGAATGCCCCGGGTCGCAACGAGCGAAAACATTGGCCAATCGAAATTCAGATTGGCCCGGGTCGCCACTTCGAGCCGACATTGACGAATGGCATGCAACCGTAAAAAAAAAAACAAGTCTATAATCGAAATAATACATACACTCGTCATAACTTCGACCGTCCAATAACATCTATTAAAAATGATCCAGACAACCAACAGTGTAAAAAATAAAATGCAAAGGCTACTACATTGTTTGGTTCCGCGTCCACAAATTTCTGACATAAACATAACAGCGAGGAACCCACAAGGATAACACAACTTCAAACATCCATGTACCTAGATAAAGTTGTCAACGAATATTACATAACCACAATACCTACGGCACAGTCACTAACCCCGTACAGAAGCCAACATCACAAAAACGTTTATAGAGGCGTTCAGTTGACCAGGACAGTATTTGCCTCAACCTGCAGGATTCCCACAGCTCGTCGCGGGTCATGGAAACAAGAAACGGTTGACCAGGAAAGTGTTTGGATCCATGAACGAAGGCACGATGTGTGGCAACGACAAGATGCAGTCCACGTCGATCACAGCATACGCGTCGTCCCCCATGGTGGGGGTCGAACGGATGCATCCGGTGGCTGCCCACGTGCCCTCTGTGAAGTACTTAATGAAAGCAAAGCGGGGGTGGGGCTTCGATTGGGTGGCGATGTGAAACAGCGCCAGACACTTCCCATACCAGACCGCCCGGCCAGTTCCCTTGATCTTGATGTGTGAGAACCGGCCCGCCTTCGGAAAAGCGTTCACCATCTGGCCGTTATCACCACGGTCCATCCGATTGTGGGGAGGCAGCGCCAGTGCCGTGTGAATCTGCCCACGGGCGGGAAGAAGGAGCGTTGTAAGATAGAGCAAGGATACCATAGCATAACATAGCGGATACGCTCCAAGGATAGGAGAGAAAAGCGGGTGGGGGTATGAACCGGTGATGAAAGAGCGGAGGAGTGGATGGGGGGTAGGGCAAAAAATGATGGTGCTGGGATCACGGCTCCTGTGGCTCAGATGGCGTGAGCGAGACCACCAGGGTATGAGGTATGTGAAGCCCCTGCCTCGAGTCCACCACGTGAACCCTGTATGTTATGACATATCTTGTGTTGTGAGACACCCTACCAATGGCCCAGCACCAGACTGCGTCGACCTTGGCCAGAGACACCCTTGGAAAGGTACACCGTTAGCCAGAAACACCTATGGACTGATACACCAATGGCCGTCAACAGGGCTAGCCTGATACACCCTTGTCCAGACACACCTATGGCCTGATACACCCTTGGCCAGAAGCAGTGCTGGTCTGATACACCCTTGCCCAGAAACACCCATGGACTGATACACCCTTGCCCAGAACCACCCATGGACTGATACACCCTTGCCCAGAAACACCCATGGACTGGAGCCCCACCTACATACACACCCTTAGCATGACACACCCTCCATTGGCCACCTATCGTGATGGTGCCCAGGCAATTACTGATCCTGGGCACGTGACAAAACCAAGACAACCTGCCCTGGTTGTGGAATGAATGATCGAAGGCCTCATGAGTAGACAGGCCTACAATGGGATAGGGCCGCCAATCCCATGAACACCAGGGTCCGAGTAGTCATGAAGATGCGCTGTTGAAGGATGGACAGGGTTGGTGAGAGTCTAGGGGATGTGGGAGAGGCGGTAGATGGAATAGCGTAAAACAGCGGAGCGTGATACCACGGGGGAGGGGATGGCGTAGCAGGAGAGGTTAGCCCCATTGATATGTGTGGCGTTCATGGGTAAACACGTAACTGGACAACCTCCGCTGGGTGGCCGGCGCGCCCAAGCTGCACACTCAGTCTCCCCATTGCGTCCGCACCCGCCTTGTCCACAAACAGTTGCCACATCTCATCCGTCGCCGAGTTGATAACCATTTTTGTGCTCGTCTTTGTGAGGACGCGACAGTTGCCAGCCACCGCCTATTAGCACCACAAAGACCATTGCACAAATAGTTAAAACGAGTCATGGGACACACTGTGCAAGGTGACACATCATACGGAAGCACGGGTCAGAAGAAGAACAGGCATTGTTGGAAGATAGTCTCACCCGCCGCATTGCTGTCTCGTACACCTTCCCACCGCCCTCCTCCCTGCACAGGGCTTGGATTGCAGCAAATCGCTCATGGCGGAACGCAATGTCGGCATTCACATCGTGCCAGTTGCTGTTGCGTGCATGCCGTTTGACACACGTCTTGTGAAGAGCCTCCCCCATATTGGTGGAGTATTCAATGGGCAGGCCACGTGCACGGACGTATGCGGGCAGGTGGGAGAGCTCATGCACCTTCACAAGCTTCCAGCCTGACTTCTGGTCAGGGAACACCCGGATCAGTCCGTCGACCAACCTGCCCATCCATACCGTACCAGAATGAGATGTGACCCAACGCCAATGAGCCCGGCAGAAAAGCAACTCCTCCCTACTCACTGTGTGGTTTGCCTGGTGCAGGCCGTGAGACTGTCCTCGGTGTGGTATTCGGCTCTAAAATACGCAACATACCACTCGTTGAAGAGCACCATGAGGCCCCCGATGTCCTTACGCCCAGGAAGGTGGCATATCAGGGGCAAAATCTGCATCATTGCCCGGTGCTCCCAGGCAGCAATCTTCGCCACAGTGCGAAAATAGGTCGAAACATCACCCGTGCGCAGTAGTGTCGTCGGCGTATCCGCAAGCACGATCCGGAAGCGCCTGCAACCCACACATCACACGAATCTAGGGCATCTCATTCCTATTGCCTTACGCGACCTGTCCCCGCGTATCAACGTGGGGTTCATGTCTTCAGAGCATGCCACTACAGACCGCGTACGCTTACACGAAGTAACCCGTACCCGGGAGACATGGAGAAGGCGAGACTTTTGAAGTGCAACACATGGGAGAGCAGAGCGGGGGAGGGGGAACCACATGGGGGAGAGCATAGCCGCCTACGGCAAATGTAGTTAGAGCTTAGCGGCAAACGGCAGAGGAAGGGGGGACATAGCGGCACATGGCAGAGGAAGGGGGGACATACCGGCACATGGCAGAGGAAGGGGGGACATAGCGGCACATGGCAGAGGAAGGGGGGACATAGCGGCACATGGCAGAGGGAGTGAGACCATATCGGCATGTGGCATAGTATTGATGTAAATGACGGCATATGGGGGAGGGCAGAGGAGCGGGCCATTGCGGGGGAGGGCAGAGAAGCGGGTGGCAGTGCGGGAGATGTCAGAACAGGGGAGAGCATAGCGGGTGAGGGCAGTGGCGGGATGAGTAGCAGAGGAGGGCAGTAAGCGGGCTGGGGGCAGTGGAGGGGACGTCATTGACGTCATTGCGGGAGAGATGGACATATGAGGGGAGAGTAGATCCTGAAAGCGCATAGAGGGTGTGAGCAGATCAGAAATCAGGCTGAGGAGCGGAGTGCAGTGCAAGGGAGGGCAGAGGAGGGGAGAGCAGCGCGGGAGAGGGCAGAGTATAGGTTTGTTGAGTGGTAGAGGTCAACGTAGTATCGAGTAGTATCCGAGCACGCACCGCAACAGCTCCTCGAGCTCTGAAGGCGTGAGCTTGGCAACCAAGCAACGCATCGCATGAAGCCATACCCCCTCTTCCACCACATGAAGCACACACACGCCAATAGTGCAGTACAGGTTGCCCCACGGGGTGTCTAGATACTCCCATTCCCACAGAGCGCACTGCATTGGGGTTTGAAAAGGGGCAAGGATGGGTTCAGTGTGACCCTATATGCAGAGACAGGCGATGCGGAATACAGCCCAACGTAGGTCCGAACCATCGTAAGAGCATCACATAAGCGTATAAGCCTCACCTTTACGAAGTGAGTGCTGTATGCCTGCTTCACACGGGGAAGCTCAGCGGGCGACGCTCGGGCCATCATACTGAGCGCGTCTGCCTGGCCAGCAATCGTGCGTAGGCGGGGGTTCACGGTCCCGTCAAATTTGGACAGCTGCCACCGGTTGACGCTACAAATCGAGCACGGCTTCAGCGACGTCGCGTACATTGTGCATGTGACATAGTTGGACTCTGTGTGGTCGCACGCGTATATGGCCAACATTGGGACCACATTGTAATCCTTGCCCTCGTGGTCCACCACACGCACTCCTTCGCTGCATGGACATTCAAACCCAGTTTCGTCACACTTTATCCACCGTCGTAACATGCGCTGCTGGATGAAGCGATAGCAACCAAGGCACACCTGTCTTTCTTGGGCAGCTGCATCAAAGGGCCAAAAACCGTATCCACCATCGTCTGGAACACCGCCGTCTTCTCCTCTGCGGTTAGTTCCTCCGGCATCGGCGGAAACTGCGCCACCATCTCGGTGCCACCCAGCATCCAACGTAACCTTTCGGGTGTATTGAGCAGGGAGAAGAGATCCGGGTGTGCCATCTGACGGTCGTTGAATGTCAAATGAGTCGCATCACAGAAAATTAGTATCCACGCCGCGCTCATGCCCCTCTCCCTTGCTGCTACCTGTCAAAATACATTGGAGCCGGTGCATGATTAGCAATGTGCATACACGGCAAATTGGGTGCCAGTAGTTGTACCACACCACACCCGCAGCAAGAGCCCACTCACCGTCGCATCGCGGAACCAGTCACATCCCACCGGGCTGCGATAACGCCTCTTCGTGTCCGGCCCCTCCTCATACTCCGGGTTGATAGCGAATCCCTCGACTCCAGACATCCGTTGCCACATTTTCTGAAACACCTGAATGCAGCAAGGGACCTATTGGAGTTACCATCGCACAAACCGACGCACACACCATCTGCATTCAGCAACGTGGATGTCGTCACCTGCACGATGCGCCGATATCGGGAGACGAGGACCCCCAAATCGTCAGCAAGCTCTATCTCCTTTTCCAGCCACTCATCACCGATGTTCAGAAGCTCTTGCTCATACGCCTCCAAATCACGGAATGATGTCCAATCGTCCATATCCGACGGGGACCAATCTCTATCACGAAGGAGGCTAATTACTTCGTTGATGCAGGCGTTTGACCAGAAGTGCTTACGCGCCAGCCATACTAGATCCGCCTTTATGTCTCGACGAGGAATGTCGTCATCGCTGCCATCGCTGTCTAGCTCGCTTGGTTCAGTCTGTAGTTCTGCATCCGCATCCATGGGGACATTTGGCGTAGTCTGAGGCGACGAGGGCGCCGGAGCAGGGTGTCTAGAGGCGGCATTGGCATCTTGGTCACGGAAGTACCTCCCGCGTGTGAATCCATCCCTACGACGGCTCGCTTGTTCGTCTAAGCAGAGCTTGTTGGTGTGCATATGCGAACCCAGTCCCTGGAGAGTCTTTGTTATCCGCCCGCACCACTCGCACGGTAAGACAGGCATTGTCCGCCTCCACAGTGAGCAGAAATACGGCACTGTAACGGCTAAAAATGCCTATGACCGAGCATTAGAGCGAAGTACGGGACAGTCACCCTAGGAACTTTCCTAGCAAATCCGAAACCCTAATGGGATGCAGCGCGTAAAGCCAGGGTCGAGGGTGAATGGGACTGATGCTTGGTTGTACAGCGAAATGCATTTTATCGCCATCTGGCTGGTATCTGTTTCGCGACCCCACGGAAAGTGTTCAGTTATTTGTTGATATAACGATTGAATTGAATAGCTACCAGGCGTGCCTAGCTAGTAAACAATAAACTTATTTTTAAGAAGTCATCATACTGGTCTCTTATAGGCAACGACCAGGCAACAGTGCAACTACAAATAAATAGCAAGACGGAGAGACTTGTTCAGAGCATCACAATTCTCATGTCATATACCAGCAGCCAGGCCCGCATTCGGAATTGCGTCTTGAAACAAACAGATCAGCTATCAGACCCAGAAGAGCTGTGGCACTAGCTTTCGCCGCGATGACGCTTGGCACTGTGAGTAGGCAACAGACTATAAGATGTCCGAATATACATGACCAGGGCGTCATAAACAGTCAGCTCGGTGATGCCTGCATGTAGAGGCAGGGAAGACATTAGACACACGCGCGTGGTGCATTCGCAGTGAGCACGACAGTGGGGCATCTACGCGACGCTCACCTGACAGTGCTGCAACCATTGCGCCTGAGGGCTGCACTGCATCTTCATTGCGGACAGTGGATGTTGTTGGTGCGTGAGCAGGATGCTCTTGCTGACGGCGAGACACGCTCCCTGGTGACTCCCGTGTCGGCCTGGCACTCCGCCTCTGCGTCCTTCCACTTGGGGAGGGCATGGCGGAATATGTTGCCCCTGCTCAGGTTGGTGCGAGGCACGGTCAGAACCCTAACATATCATACGGTGAATGTAGTAACAGAGAATTCACTAGCGCTCAATCCTACCAAGGGGCGCCGGATTGATTTCCCCCCCTGGAGTGGGACTGTTTGCCCCGGCCATGTTGCCATTTGGCGCAGAGGGACGATGGCGATGTGCAGGCTGCTCTTTTACATCGTCCTCCTCAGGTGCCGCAGGGTGTAGCGACGAGGAAGACCGTTGATTGACGATATTTTTGGAGTGCACATTTCCTGCATGGAGAGAGAGGCATAAGTATGAATGTGCCTGGGAGAGTGTAGCATGCGAGAATTACGGAGGGAGTCGACGCCTTACCATAGACCGATCTTGCGACGGCAGTAGCAGGATATTTGCCCTTCACTCGAGCTCGTGGAGAGTCGCGCATAGCAGGCGACCTGCTTGGAACGCCTGCCGGGGCGATCGGCCTGTCGGGCGTTGCAGCTGACATGGTGCACGACAAATTGAATGCAGGGGTTAGCGATTAGTTAAGTATAGAGTAAATTGCTTTTAACGAGAACAGTATTTAGCATGACTGACCGGCGGGTGCCGTTATGGTCCTCGCGACTGCAGCACCGTCGGGTGAGCCGACGGGATCGTTGTCGTCCGTGTCGTCCTCGAGGATGTTGCAAAAAGCAGAAGGGCGACGGAAGTGGTCTGCAGGCTCGTCATGGAGCGCCTCACGATGTCCGTCACCAGCCAATGGGGGAGTCCCACCACGGCCGCAGCCCAACGGCGATCGGAAATGGTAGTCGCGCAGGACCCAGATGCCATCACGCTTAACAAAGTCGCTGACTTCTGAAGTTTCGTTCTCGGGCGACGGTTCCCTATCTCCCATGGCCAAGCGGGTAGTGCTAGGTAGCTACAGCCTCACCTACGAGTTTACTAGAGCTGGTCTGGGGTTTCAAACCCCAAACCGGTAGTACTAATAATCGCGCCTACCAACCAGGCAAATGCTGTACGCGGTTTTGGCCTCCGTCCTACATTTCCGATATTTGCATAGGGGCTTCACGATACGGTGTGCTAGTGTTTTAAAACTTTGTGTAAACCATTCTTGCTGGTGCTAGTGTCAAATTCACTCACTGTACTTCTATTAAGCAAACCGAACAATGTTTACAAACAGCATATCATAATAGAGGAAACAACATGGTAGTACACGAACTAACAACCAGTCTTATGGTCTCTATAGTAGTTACTCCACAGCAGAAAGTAGGTTTGCAATTCCTCGCGCCATTGCGTGGACGAGCCATAGAGCAGCATGCATTCCAGATTCCTGAACTCGGTTTCAACGAGATGCTGCATAAATTTGATTACATAGATTCCACAGTCCCATTCATTGGGCTGTTGAGGCACCTGCGAGCAAAGAATAACCATATCAGAGGCAATGTGATTGGCCAACAGCTCCTGGGTGGAAACATCACTCACATCGAGACTTTTAGAGGTCAGCCCAGCCTCCCATGTGTCTGCCTGAGCATCAGTCACCCAGGGGCGGTATGCCCTGAGGTGCAGTTTGAGGTACCTGAAGGGAGTTGAAGAGGATTTAGAGTGGGTGAACGTCCAGCGCGGATATGACCATGGACATATGCAAAGAAAGCAACTCACCGTCGTATTGGGGCATAGAAACCTTCATGCTGGCTCGCGGAATCTGCGTGCGGGTGGGTTTTGGTATGTAGCGCGGGTTCCTGTCACTGTCGTTGTCCAGGATCACGAGGCTCCAATGGTCTCTGTGCGAGATTCATTATAGAGTGAGGCGTCGGTGCGTCTATTCGGGTCATGGCGGGAAAAGCAAGGTGTGCGAGCATACCGGATGTGCAGCGGAATGAGAGCCCAACTGTACGAAAGTATGTTCTCCCCAGCGGCGTAGTTCACCGACGTTGTCGAGGCGTCTGCCCGGCTGACTAGAGGGTAGAAAAAGGTACCACAGTAGATCCACAACCGTTCTTTCTCAACAGCCTTGTACTGGAGCAGACTGCGTGATACACGGGATGGATGTTGATAAGGATTAGTAATTCATAATATAAAACGTAGAGTGCGCTGCCAAATCGTAAAAGTGTCTCACATGCCGAACCATTCAATGATCTCGCCCGACAGCCACTCTTCGGCCTCAAGAGTTTTGGCCTCCCTTTGATCGAGTGTTAGATAACCGCGACTATTAGGGTAGAGTATAGTGTAAGAGGTAAAGGCCTCTGTTGCGGCATAGACGGAACGTTCTCATGCTTATCCATGGCGGTATCTCGGATGGAGCACTTGGCGATAGAGAGTACTTGTATATAATGGGATCTTTTTGAGCAAGAGCAGCGTGGTACATTTTTCCAGGTTATACCCACATGTGAGGCCGAGGATCGGGCGAGTATTGCATTTCGGAAAGTTCTACGTTTGAGGCAACGGCTCAAAACTTGCGCATACGCGTACAATATTCGAGTAACCCCACATTTTGTGACCAATGAGATCGTGGTCAAGACTCAAAATTTGAGGGCGACTATACCGCGGCCTAACTGCGGGCCATCCCATAAGTGGGTTTGCATACTAAGCTGTACACGACAGATTCTGTTGTTCGCCATTCCATATCGTTCCTCCAAGACGAACTACCAACGGTTACCCGATTGGCACGTCAG